AGCATCAACTTGGGCTCGGGTCATGATCTCACGGTTTGTCAGTTGGAGCCCTGCAGTGAGTCCCGCATCAAGCCCCACATCGAGCCCCATGTCGGGCTCTGTGCTCATTTGTGTGAAGCCTGCTTGGGATTCTCTCTCCTTCTCTGTAGCCCTTCCACCCTCTCTCTCTTTCTCAAGGTAAATAAACTTAAGAAAAATAAAGGGAGTATGAGAGATACTGAGATCTTTATGTAGGAAGAATTATGCAATTAGCACATTTAGTGGTAAAATTGGATACATGAATAGAAAGACACTGAGGCTGTATTTACAGAGCAATATTGCTAGCTGCATATTTGAGCATGTAATGAGATGCATATGATGAGATTGATGGCGGGGGAACAGTAGACATAATGACTGGAACAGTGGACTCCACCTTTGAACATGCATCAGACTCATGGAAGGCTTGTTAACCACCGCAGTTTGCTGGGACCCATCCCCAGTAGTCCGGAGCTAAGGTGGAGCCTGAGAATTTGCATTTATAATAAATTCCCAGGTGATGCTTTTGTTGCTTATCTGGAGCTGTACTTTGAGAACCATTGGTTTAGGGTTTGGTTTCTAGTATCAGATGGATTCCAGTACACATTCTGGTGCTGCTAAAAGGTATTTGGGTGACTCTGGGTACATCACTAGTCTGCCCTGAGTCTCAGTTTCCTCATTTGTAAAATGAGGATAATGATCCTTTCTCACCTGGTGGTCACGCTGGCTCAGTGAGACAATGAGGGTTAAGTACTGTGCACAGTGCCTGGTACAAAGCCGGGGCTCATTCTGTGAGCCATCCTCCTCCCCCTCTTCCTCTGCATCATCAGTGAACTTTGGTGCTGGGAGGAACCTAGGAAGTCACCTGCTTTATGGCTTATACATGAAAAATGCAAGACCCCCCGTAAGTGAAGGGCCTTCTCCAGATCAGGCACCTAGCTCGTGGCAGAGCCAGAATTATAACCCATTTCTTGTGATGCTTAATTTAGTATTCTTTTTTTTTTTTTTTAATTTTTTTAAATGTTTATTTATTTTTGGGACAGAGAGAGACAGAGCATGAACGGGGGAGGGGCAGAGAGAGAGGGAGACACAGAATCGGAAACAGGCTCCAGGCTCCGCGCCATCAGCCCAGAGCCCGACGCGGGGCTCAAACTCACGGACCGCGAGATCGTGACCTGGCTGAAGTCGGACGCTTAACCGACTGCGCCACCCAGGCGCCCCTAATTTAGTATTCTTAATAGCACTTACTTTGGTATCGAAAGAGGATGACATCTATGAACAGAAAAATCCATTAACCGTGGCAAAAGGACTATGTCTACTACGATGTTGAGCGGTGCATCACGTCAGTATCTAAAACCCGAGATGTTCAGGAAGGAGGTTTATGAGATATATTCGCCGAGGCAATGAAATAAGGTAGAAATAGCGTGATGAGATGTGCATCCCATTGCGAAAAGCTGTATTATAGGGAGATAACTCCTTGAGGAGAAACTAAGGGTGAAGGGACAACTTAATGTCAGTAGCAGAGCCACATGGACTATCAGGGCGGGAAGGGGCAGTGAAGACAGCATCAAGTATGGAGTCTCCATCTGGCCTTGCTATGACCTAGTCGTGTGTCCTTGAGCAGTTAGCATCACCTGTCTGGGCCTCCTCAATGTTTGCACTTGTGAGTGCTTACTATATGTCAGGCACTTTGCTAGGTTTGTTCTCTCATAAAATCATTGCAACAACTCCATATGGTGTGCCAGAAATCGCCTGCCTGACTCTCCAGGTCCATTCTTTCCCCTTCTCTACCTGCTGTCTGCTCTGCCACGGGAGGCTGGCTTGTATGAACTGTGTCAATGGAGCTCCTGTGCCCTCTGGATGCCAGGAGTCCAGCAGGAAACGGCCGGGAAGCGGGAGGGGAAGGAGGACAAGGCAATTATTCTCCTGGCTCTTCCAGTGAGGCTGCCTTGGGCTGGTTGTGTTTTTCAACTGAAACTGCTCCCCTCTCAGAGGCTTGTCTACATGACTCTCCTTCTCAGGTCCCAAAACCTCTTCACCTCTGAAACTTGTACCAAGCAGTGGTGACATCTCCACTGCTGTTGGCCCTGGATTTCCAACCCTGTCCACCGTTGGACTACCCCAATTTCAATGTTCCATTTGCTTCTACTGGATTCTGACTGATACAGAATTGACAGAAGAAGTGGTCCGAGAAAGCAAACTCATACAATGGGACTCTGGTTTGGGTTGGTCATGTGTGAGCAGCCCAGGGAAAACTTCCCTGATGAGGGCAAATGGGACACGAGTAGCTCATGGTAGATGCTGGCATCATGATAACAAAATATCACTGAAGGCAGCATGGCATAAGATGGAGGGCAAAGTGTTGGGAGATCAAGTGGTTCTAGCACCTAGTCACCAGGGTAACAACAGTGATTATAAAAGGTGTGGAGTCACCTGATTCTTTGTATGACCTTACACATCATACATAGGGGGAAAAGACAAATTAAAAGCTGTGAATGTGCACAAGGGCAAGTGGAAGTACACCCAGAAAACTCTAAACCAGTCCCTTCTCTCCTGTAGGCACTGGGAGGACGGAGATACAGACCAAGCCCAAGTCACTGCGTTAAGTATGTGCTCAATATCATTAGTTCTCTTAAGGACATGAATGGGGAAGAAACCAAGAGACATGTGGCTTACATTACTCAGGAAGAACCGGTGCCTTACCCCAAAAACTATAAAATTAGACTTGCAAGGCAGAATTCCATTATAAAATGGAAGGTACAAATATTGAACCCAGGCCAGTCAGGTCAAGAAGGCACCAGTAAGCTGCAAAAACAGATGACCTAGACTCCTGTGGTACCTGTACCTGCAACTGTGGTGCCTATGCTTCAACCACACTATAGTTTCACAGAGAAGTCCCCACCACCAGTTAACAACATGGAAAAAGCACACAACCAGTTTGGGAGTGGATCTGCACAGTGTGCCAGCACAAGCCAGAAGTGAACGGCGCCATGCTCTAGCCCCACTTGGGCAGCCTTCAAAGACTGTAGTCAATGGAGATCCTCCCGGGGGACAGAACATCAGGCAGTATGTGTGATTTTCCACTTTGGCCTGAACTGTGGATCTACACTGACTCATATGCAATGGAGAATGGGTGACTGGATACTGACGCTTTGAAAGAAAATTAACTGGTGATAAGAAAGTTTGGGGAAGGTATGTATGTATGGACCTCTTAAATGAGACCCATAGTGTGAAGATACCGGTGTTCTGCATGAATGCCATCCTGAGAACAATCAGGGTAGTGGAGGCTCCATATAATCAAGTGGACAAGCTGACTCATGCTGTGGATCTTAGTTGGCCTTTTTCCTAGTCACTCTGATGCTTGTTCAGTGGACCCGTGTATAAAATGGCCTTGGCAATAAGGATGGAAGCTATGCTTGAGTTCAATTACATGGGTCCCCTCACTGAGTTTCATCTGACGCATCCATGGATGAATTAGACAACCTGCTAATAGCAACTGCTAAGCCCTTGATATGGTACTATCTTCCCAATCAACTAGTTACTTGGTATGAGGTTGATTACATTGGATCATTCCCATCATAGAGGAGGTAGTAGTTAGTTTTCACAGGCGATGGACACAAATTCTGGGTGTGGGGTTGCCCATAGAGTTCCTGCTAACATCGCCATTCATGGACTTCAGAATGCCTTATCCATTGCAAGAGATCTTTCACAATATCGCCTCTGATCAGAGGCACTAGTCTTGGCACATTATCCATTACTCAAAGGCAGCTAGCTTGACATAATACTGGAATGGCCTGAATGATGCTCAAATACAGTACCAGCTAAGAGATAATACCTTGTTGAGTTGCTCTCCTACTGAATGCACTTATACTTTAGAGATCAGCATATAGTGCTGACTGCCCCTTAGACAGGATGCATAGGTCTGGAGACCAAGGGGTAGAGACAGGGTGACCCTTTTCATGATTATGCCTAATTAAGCCCTTGAAGAGTTCTGCTTTTTGTTCCTACAACCTTGGGCTCAGTAGGTTTGGAGGCCCTAATGCCCAAAGGAGAAATGCTTCCACCAGGGAACGCTTACGGTTCTCACGACTTAAAAGTTGAGTCTGTCTCCTAATCATTCAAGGCACTTTATGCCAATAAGCCAATAAGCAGAGAGGAAGATCACTGAATTGGGTGGGGGGATTATCCTAATTACTTGGAAGAAACTGTATTCCTGCTACACAATGAGAAAAAGAAGGACTATGTTTGGAACCTGGGGATTCACTAGGGATGTCCCTTGCCTGAAAGATCTGGTCAATAAAAAACAGGAGCAACATACCAAGAATTCATATTTTGTGGGAATGAAGGTTGGAGCCACCCTGCCAGCTGAGGTGCTGGCTGGGGTCCCATGGAATGGCTGGTAAAAGATGACAGCGTTACACAGTAAGAGGTGTATGCATAGAGACTACCACTCACAGGTAGCCATGGTACCATACTCTCACCATGTAAGATGGTTGTAATTAGGGTGACCGACATTCCAGTTTCCCAGGACTCAGGGTTTCCTAGGACACAGGAATGTCAGTGACAGAACCCAGGAAAGTCCTTGGAAAATGAGAATAAGTCATCCTATTTATGCTTTTCACTTTCTGCATTAATAAATACCATGAAATAAATAATGCTTGTCTTACATACCCAACAGGTGCATGTGAAGATAATGAGTGGCTACTTTGGAATCTGGTAGACCTAGACGTTAAATCCAACTCTGCTACTTACCTGTGGGATGACCTTGGAGAGACTACTTAGATTCTCTCAAGGCTTCACCTCCTTCTGTAAGCCCACAGGTATTTCTGTCCACCATTATCCACCTTATTTATTACGTATCACTCTTTCTTTGATATCAAACATAGCAGTCTCACTTTTCCACCATGCCAAGGGGCATCCCTGACTTGGGGGTCCTGGTGCCCATTGGTCGTCCCTCCAAATCTTAACTTCTGTGTCCCATACAGGCTTGCTCCTTCCACAGAAGCAAGACTATGGAGTTTTTCTCCATCTTCATGGAGCCGGCCTGGCCCGACACATGGAGGGATGGCATGGTGGCCTTGGTCTGAGGCCATCCAGACCTCTCAAACATTTCAGAACTTGATGACACAACTTATAAAATATTTTACCACAAATAAAGTGAAAGGAACATTGCCAGGGTGCCTGCCAGGTACTGGGCACTATGGTATTTGCCTTTAAAAAAATGGTTCATTTAACCTTTGCAACAATTGTACATTTGTTTGAGAAAACTGAGGCACAAGGAGGTTAAAGTCACTTGTTTAAAATCCCACAAGTGTAAAAATGGTAGAACCTGTAGCACCAACATGTGAAAAGCCAAAAGGCAGATACCTCAAGCCTTGACCCCATAGCAAGTGTCACATGTACAAATACTTACAGGGGCCAGGTGGGTCATGTGAATGATAGAGGTTGGCTGGGAGGGTCTCTAGTGATCTGACAGCACAAACCCTGTCTACGTGGGGTGGCCGCTTATCAGTTCCATTGGATTTCCACATGATAATGCCCATGTAGTATTTTTAAAAAAAGTTTTTAATGTTTATTTATTTTTGAGAGAGAAAGAGAGAGCACAAGCAAGGAAGGCGCAGAGAGAGAGGGAGACACAGAATCCAAAGCAGGCTCCTGGCTCTGAGCTGTCACACAGAGCTTGAACTCACGAACCATAAGATCATGACCTGAGCCAAAGTCAGAGGCTTAACTGACTGAGCCACCCAGGCTCAGTCATCCATAATGCCCATGTAGTATGGCCAAAGAAGCCAAAGTCCACGTTTTTACACAAAACATTTTAATTTCAAAACATTAATAATTATTCCCCCAAAATACCCCGCTTTGTTGACCAAACGTGTCAAGCTTCCTGGCTACCAGGTTTTCGTTGCTATCCTATGGTCATGGAAAGAAAAATTTGATTGAATGAGGATCCAAGCCAGAGGTGTTGATCATAGCAGAAGAGTGAATAGTTATCACACAATGTAGAGAAGCAACGTCATTCATGTAATATGCAATTCTAATAAAGGGGACTGGGGAAAAACAGAGTGACAACCAGCTCCACTGATGTGGATATCAGGATGAACCTGAGATACAGCAAAAAGGACTAAGACTAGAAATCAGAATCTGAGGATTTTGAGGCACCAGAATAGTTTCCCTTGGGTCACCTCCTTTCCAGATATTTAAGAAAGAATGATGAGGGGCACCTGGGTGGCTCAGTCGGTTACGTGTCTGACTCTTGACTTCGGCTCAGGTCATAATCCCACGGTTCATGGGTTCAAGCTCCGCATCAGGCTCTGCACTGACAGTGCTTGGGATTCTCTCCCTGCCTTTCCCCCACTCTTTCTCTCTGTCTCTCTCAAAATAAATAAATAAACTTAAAAAAAAAAAAAGAAAGAATGATGAATTCCCTTTGAGTTTATGAATAAAAGCTAATCTCATTTCTTATAAGACAGTTTGATTCCCCCGTAGTCTTCTGAAAATGTCATTAAGTATCACATGATTTACCTACTAGGGCAGTTTTCCAGGAATCTCTTTGGGGTACTCTTTCCCAAGATGTTTTTTGAATCACCCCTTCTCTGGGGCCTGGTAACTCTCCATCATTAATTGTAATTAGACTCCTCGATCCAAATCACTTTACCATGGTGTAATTTCCCCTTTGGAAATTTCTACCAGTTTGGCTCCTACTGGAACATCAGTCCATTCAGCTGCCTCTAGAGGAAGCTCCTTGATCAGCAAGGATGGAGACAAAAGGGAGGAGAAGGGAACTGAAGGAGAATAAGAGGGCCACTTGCTGGCTGATTTCTTTTGCCTTCCCTTCCAGACCCTGGCTGCTTCCAAGGGACTCCCTCCCTGGCTAGATCAGCCTCCTGGTGGTCTTGTTCTCTGTTCTGGTGTTTGTCGTCAAAGGCCGTGATATTCTGGGAAGAGCTTAGATTTGGAATCAGAAGACTTGTGTTTGTGTCCTGCTTCGATGATCTATGTACTCCTGGCAATCAGTTAGCCACTCAGAAACTTCATTGATAAAATGAGAATAATATCTACCTCTGTGGTTCTTATCCAGCTGAAACACATGTATATAAGATACTTTTTGTAAACCATAAAACTTCACATACACATTGGTCAGATTGCTTTTGGCCATTGATACTATGCCTGGATGGCTCTGTTGGTTAAGTATCTGACTCTTGATCTCAGCTCAGGTCTTGATCCCAGGGTAATGAGTTCAAGCCCCATGTTGGGCTCCACCCTGGCTGTGAAGCCTCCTTAAAAAAAAAATTCTGGGGCACCTGGGTGGCTCAGTTGGTTAAGCGTCCAACACTTGATTTTGGCTCAGGTCACCACGTGGTCTCATGGTTAGTGAGTTTGAGCCCTGTGTCAGACTCTGTGCTGACAGCTCGGGATCTGCCTGGGATTCTCTGTCTCTCTGTTTCTCTCAAAAATAAATAAAGAAATAAAGAAATAAAGAAATTTTATAAAATTCTATCTTTAATCACGGAGGGGTTGTGGCAGAGGCACACATTCACAAAAAAGTTCATCCTCCTATAAAATAGAGCGGTCACTGAGAAGTGTTTGGCCAGCCAGGTCTGTATTTTCCAGTCTCCTTTGCATTTGGGTGGGATAAAGTGATTAGTGTTTACTAATGGGATATAAGCAAAAGTAAATGAGTATCGCTTCAGAGCCAAAGGTGATTAGAAGTCTGTGTTCCTTCTTTAATTTTCTTCCCATCTTCCACTGGATGAAGAGGGCTCTAAGGCCTCAGAGAGTGGCCGAATCGCAAAATGAAAGGAAATCGAGTTCCTGAATCATCATGTGGGAGAAAGCCACCTGCTACCTGGGAACATCCTCACTGGATTATCACGTGAGTGAGAAACAAACTTTCATCTTGCTCAGGGTCTGCAATATTGGGGTTTATTTGTTATAGCAGCTACCATTAGCCTAAGAAACGAATCAAGGGAATGGGAATGTGTGTCTCAGGCAGTAAAAAGTGCTGAAGATGGACGTGTGCACAATGGCCGGAAGTGTCTTTTTTCACACTAATACACAGACCATAGGGCCAAGGTATTTCAAAAGGACATCTGCAGTGCCGTCAGATAAGGTGGATAGGCAGTTTGATGTTACACACACACACACACACACACACACATGCATGCACACACACACGCACACATCACTTAGTGTGTATATTCCAGAATGCCAGTGTTAAAGATACAATAGGCCTCCGAGGCCATCTCTTAGGACCTTATGTGTAGTTCAGGAAGCTGACCCAGATGGAGACAGCGGTGCAAGTCCATGGAACTAAGCAGTGGTGGCATCTAGACCAGCACCCAGGTCTTCAGATTCCCAGGCTCTTCTTCTCAACCCTCTTTCCTATTCTCTCTGGTTTATCCCAGCTTCTCCCTTGACAGAGTCTAACATCGCGATAACCCAGAAACGACTCAAAAGGGGGGAATGAGAGGTATGAATGGATTTCATGACGTTACACCTACCGTGTAATCAGCTAAAGGGCATTTTTCATTGTCAAGGTGGTGGCTGGCAAAGAACGAAGCGAGCCCATTAGCCAAACCCTTCTCCTCGCCTACTTTCTTATGTTGTTCTGTGTCCTCTTGAACTCTATCTGCCAGCCATGCCAACCATCATTATTCCAGGACCACACCAGATCCTGTTCTATCCCTGTGCCCTGGAGCGTGCCGCTTCCTTCTGCCTCTCCTTCAGCACCAAACCCCCTCACCAAGGTAATCACTGTATTCTTCCTTCAAGACCTTCCTTAAAGGTTACATTCTCTGTATGATTTCCCCAGTGCTTCCAGGCTGAGTTGGTGTTTCCCATGGCACCTGTTTATGCCATTCCTAGAGCACTCATGGCATAGAAAGGTAATTTTTATTTCTACCTTGCTGGTTCATATGCTTCAGAGGCTCCTTCCCATCACTTCGCTTTTCAGAAAGTCGCCCCTCTTCTTGCCTGAGTTGTTCAGACCAGGAATTCAGACAAAGCTACCAATCCACAGGCACTCCAGCACCATGATGCAGCCGGCTACAGAGGATTCTGCCTTTTGGGAGTGGCCCTTTGAGGATGGGGGTGGGGGGATTGGTCACGTTCACTCCACTGAGAATTCACGCCCAGAGAAAAAGAGGGATGTCCCAGTCGGTCGGGGGAATGGAGCTGTACATTCACGACACAGTGTCAGGGCTGGTGGCGGTGCCTGGCCCTGTGTCACACAAGCACAGTAGAGGGAGCACCTCAGAAGGGAGGGGAAGCAGCTGGGTCTGATGGAGAGAAGGAAGTGAGGACCGGGGAGACGATGCCACTTGGGAAATGGGGAGAGCGGACTTGGTTCCTGAGGGCTTTCAGCACCCCGTCACCAGCTGTGGTTCTGCCTTGGCTTCCACGAGAGCCCCCACCAGCCCTTTGCAGCACTGCCCCCCTCCACTTCTCGGGCTAAGTTAATGGGCTTCTGTTTCTTATAACCAAAAGAGTCTTGGTTAAAAAAGTGTTACCTCCCCCTCTGGACTATGAGTTGCTTGAGGTCTTCCTTGTATCACCAGAGTGTAGATAGGTGCATAGAAGGTGTTCAAAATCCACCTGTGGAATGGGCGACGAGTAAACGCATGAACGAATGCCCTCGTGGTAATCAATGCAGGGCGCCGTTTGCCCAGCTGGACTCCTGCCCCACCATGCCTCTCTGATTCAAAAGGCTCTTTCTTGTAATCACCACAGTTCTGCTACCTCTGTATCCCAGTGTCCAAACGTCTAGCTTCTGACAGGTGGCATCTCCCTGAAGGATTTTTTTGCTTTAAAAATACTGGGTCTGGCACACCGGCATCTGAGGGGACAACAGATGCCAACAGGAGATACAAATAGGAGAAGACACTTTCACCTCAACCACATCTGCTCCAGAAGAAACCCCACGTGGCCCCCTGGACCTTTTCCTGAAGAAACATGGGAGAAGCAAGCTGTATTTAGAGAGATATAAGTATAGCTTTTATTTTTTTTTTAAACCAACCCAACATTTCCACTGGCAACTGTCAACATAGCTTATGACATGAGCACTGTTTCTTTTTTAGTTATTTTT